GAAATGAAATTTATTATGGTTTGATGCTATATCATGATTTGATTGAATTTGATGATTAAAATTATTACATTGATGAATATGGACTATATGATCTTATTTGTAAACCATAAGTACAAGTGCAATTTCTTATAGTTGTAACACAAAATGCGTCTAATTGTGTTATGGTGGTAACACCATTATTTTTGCAGGTTGTGTATGCAAAACTTAACTGTGTACACAAGGTCACGCTGACGACGAATCAAACAAATGGCTGAAACGTCTGAACAAGTGGCTGCAAGATTAAGGTAACTTGAGCAACTAAACCAAAACATTGGTTTATTCCTCCAAAATTAAATCGCTAACAACCACAATGGTGAGAATGACCCACATGCTGCCATGGCCAAGAAATTAGCCGCACTCAAACCCCCACACTCTTTATGGGAAAGGAAGACCCTATGCTAGTTGAAAACTGGGTTTGAGACTTTGACAAAATATTTACAGCTGCTGGTACTCCTGAAGCTTAAAAGGTTGATCAAGCTACCTTTTACTTACGTGAGAATGCTGATACTTGGTGGGAAAATGAGGGTGTTGTCATTAGGGCGCAAGAAAACTTTAATTGGGAGGCATTTAAAACATCTATAAGGGATCGAATTTTCCCTGAACACATTAGGAGACAGAAGTATAGTGAGTTTAGCAGGTTTAACCAAACTGCGGGTATGAGTGTGCAAGAGTATGCTGAGAAATTTAATAAGTATTCTAGGTTTTATCCTAATGTAGTGCCTGATGAGAGATCCAAGGCTCAAAAGTTTGAAGATGGATTGACCTTTAGGATCCAAAAGAAGGTGATTGGAGCTGGTACCATTGCTACCTATAAGGAAGCATATGACAGAGCTTGCAATATCGAAAGGATTTTGGAGGTAATGGTAATGGAAATGGTGAGAGTTCATCAAACCACCAAGGATATGACAAGAAACCTCGTTTTGGAGGTAATGGAAATGGTGGAAATGGTCAACAAGGAGGTCGTAATAACAACAATAACCGCACCAATTTTCAGGGACAAGGATAACAAGTTCAACAAGGATCTCGTCCTTGCAGAAGGTGCAATAAGAATCATCCAGGGTACAATTGACAAGGTGACCCAATTATTTCCAATGAGTGTAGAGAGCCTGGACATAAGGCACATGATTTCCCAAGGAAGCATAATTCCAATCGTCAAGGACAAGGTCAAGAGGGTCAAGGAAACAACAATGGCAATAATGGAGGCGGATTTGGAAGGAATTTCAACAATAGTAATAACTTCAACAACAACAATGCTCCACACCAAGGTGCTAATTCTCAAGGAAGTAATAATGGACAAAACAACAATGTTAATGCTAGAGGCAACAACAATGGTCAGAACAATGGAAATGGAAGGATTAACAATGGGAGAATCTATGTCATGAACCAGAATGAAGCTAATAACAGCGGCAATGTTGTGACAGGTACTTTCCTTGTTAACTCTAAACCTGCCTTTTTGCTTTTTGATTCTGGAGCATCCCATTCTTTTATAGCTACTTCTTTTGTGAATAAAATTGGATTTAAACCCACATCTTCGTGTCAAGCCAACATAGTCATACCCTTAGGAGAAGTTGTACCTTGTAGGTCTCTTTTAGAGGACATCCCAATTAACATAGCTGGAACCAAGTTACTTGCAAATCTTATCCGGTTTAACTTGACTGACTTTGATGTCATCATGGGGATGGATTGGCTTGGTAATTACAAGGCTAAGATTGAGTGCCATAACAAAAAGATATCACTTAGGGGCTAAGAGGGAATAAGATCTCATACCAAGGAGTAGTTTCCAAACCTGGAATCAATATTATCTTTGCCATGACTTTACACTCTTATTTAAGAAAAGGCTACCCTATTTATCTATGTCATGTCAACGATGTGAGTATAGAGGAGAAAACAATAGAACAGATTCCAGTGGTAAGAGATTTCCAAGACGTATTTCTAGACGAAATCCCCGGGATACCACCAGTTAGGGAGATGGACTTCAAGATAGATTTGGTACCTGGAACTGGACCAATTTCCAAGGCACCATATCGAATGGCACTCGCGGAGATGAGAGAGCTTAAGGTACAATTGGAATAATTGCTTGAAAAGGGCTATATAAGGCCTAGTGTTTCACCATGGGGAGCACCTATACTTTTTGTACGAAAGAAGGATGGTACCTTAAGGTTATGCATTAATTATAGTGAATTGAACAATGTAATAATAAAGAACAAGTACCCCTTACCGAGAATTGAGGATTTGTTTGATCAGCTTAAAGGTGCTGCTGTCTTTTCAAAGATTGACTTAAGGTCAGGATATCATTAGTTGAGGATCGCGGAGGAAGACATACCCAAGACAGCTTTTCGTACAAGATATGGCCATTATGAGTTCACAGTCATGCCCTTTGGACTCACTAATGCGCTAGCGACACTCATGGATCTTTTGAATAGAACATTCCAGCCGTATTTGGATAGTTTCGTTGTTGTATTCATTGATGATATTTTGGTATATTCAAAAGACAAGGAGGAGCATGAGGGTCATTTGCGAAGGGTGTTGGAGATATTGCAAGAGAAAAGGTTATATGCCAAGTTCTCTAAGTGTGAATTTGGCTTGAGAAGATAGCATTTTTGGGCGATGTGATTTCAAAATAAGGCGTTTCTGTGGATCCAGCTAAGATTCGAGCGGTGACTGATTGGCCTCGACCCACAAATGTGACTGAAGTAAGGAGTTTCTTGGGTCTTGCTGGCTATTATAGAAGATTTGTTAAATATTTTTCAAGGATAGCTCAACCATTAACAAATCTAATGAAAAAACAACTCGATTCCAATGGGATGACAAGTGTGAACAATCCTTTCAAGAGTTGAAAAGGAGACTTACCTCGGCCCCGATTTTGACTCTTCCCTCGGGGATTGAAGGCTTTGAAGTATACAGTGACGCTTCAAAGAACGGTTTATGGTGTGTACTTATGCAACATGGAAAGGTTGTAGCTTATGCATCGAGGCAACTAAGGCAACATGAGAAAAATTATGCCACTCATGACTTGGAGTTAGGAGCAGTGGTGTTTGCTATTAAAATCTGGCGACACTACTTGTATGGTGTGAGATGTAAGGTTTACATAGATAATAAGGGTTTAAGATACATATTCACACAGCAGGAATTGAACATGAGGCAAAGGAGATGGCTTGAGTTCATACACAATTATGATTTGGAGATCTTGTATCACAAAGGGAAAGCTAACAAAGTGGCCGATGCTTTGAGTAGGAAGACGAGTCATGTAGTAAACATGATGGTTTTGATTAAGGAGCTCTATGAGGAGTTTCGAAAGTTGGACCTAGAAGTAGTAGAGCATGGGCAAGTGGATGCCCAACTGAATGCACTCTCTTTAGAACCAACCTTATATGATGAAATTCGGGATAAGCAAACAGTAGATGAATGGTTGACAAAGGTGGAGAGAATGAAAGAAGAAGGGGCAACAACTAAGTTTGTAATTGATTATAATGGAACTATGAAATACAAAGGAAGGTTGTATATCCCAAAGGATGATGATCTAAAGCAAAAGATTTTAGAAGAGGCTCACAACACATCATTTTCTGTACATCCAGGAGGAGATTAGCTTTATAAGGATCTTAAGCAGTACTTTTGGTGGCCTAATATTAAGAGAGAAGTAGCAGATTTTGTTGCAAAGTGTTTGACATGTCGGAAGGTAAAGATTCAACACATGAGACCAGGAGGAAAATTACAATCCTTGGAGGTACCTGGATGGAAATGGGAGTCAATTTCCATGGATTTCGTGATGGGATTACCACTTACCAAGACATCAAAGAACGCCATATGGGTTATAGTGGATTGTTTGACTAAGACAGCTAGATTTATAGCCATAAAGGATACTTGGAGTTTGCAACAATTGGCAGATGCTTATGTGAGGGAAGTAGTTCGTCTGCATGGAGTAACTAAAGATATTGTATCTGATAGGGATTCGAAATTTTTGTCTAATTTTTGGGCAAAGCTCAAAGAGGGCATTTGGGACTTTACTCAAGTTCAGTACTGCATTTCATCCTACTACTAACGGTCAAACAGAGAGAACAATTCAAACTCTCGAAGATATGTTGAGGGCATATGTGATGGATTTTGGTGGATCGTGGGATAAGCATATTCCTATGATATAATTCTCATATAACAACAGCTACCATGCTAGTATAGGGATGGCACCTTATGAAGCTCTATATGGGATGAAGTGCAGAAGCCTATTGTGCAGGAGTGAAATAAGTGAGTCACTAACTTAGGGCCGGAAATGATTGAACACACTATGAAACAAGTGCGACTCATTCAAGAAAACATGAAAGCAGCCCAAGACCGACAGAAATCATATGCAGATCAGAGTAGAAGGGTGTTAGAATTTAAAGTTGGAGAAAAAGTTTTACTAAAAGTCTCACCAACAAAGGGGGTCATGCGATTTGGGAGGAAAGGGAACTTAAGTCCACAGTATATTGGCCCGTATGAGGTGCTAGAATGAGTTGGAGAGGTGGCCTATCGATTAACGTTATCTATGGAGTTATCAAATGTTCATAACGTTTTTCATGTATTCCAACTCCGATAATATGTCCATGACCCTACCCATGTTATTCAACCTGAATTGATAGAGTTAGATGAGACCTTATCTTTTGAAGAGCGTCTTGTTAAAATACTTGACACTAAGACAAGAGGTACCCGAAACAAAGTGGTCAAGCTAGTTAAGGTCCTATGGTCAAATCAAGTTTCCGAGGAGGCAACTTGGGAAGCTGAGGATGACATGAGAAAGCGTTACCTTGAGCTATTTCATGAGGTATGTCAAGTTTCGAGGATGAAACTTTTTCTTTGAGAGGGGTAGTATGCGTCACTAACATCCTACTTTCTTTTACTAACATTTTACCCACGTTATTGTTATGTATTCTATTTAAAGTTATTAAATAACAATAAAGTTCGAGGACAAACTTTGTTTTATGGGGGAGTACATGTAATACCCGTAAAATTTATGTATAGTTATTATTTTCTTAAAGGGGGAATTTTCTGATTTAAAATATTATTTTGATTTTTAAGTTTGGAAAAGAATATTTTTTTTTTGGTACAATGCAAATATTTCTAATAGTATGACAAACAGTTTTGATAAGGATGAAATGATTTTAGTATCTTAATTAAACTGATTTTATCAATATTATATCTTTATGATTTTATTAATCTTAAAAAAAAAAACAGTGAGTTAATGGGGAAACAAAATCTTGTATGGTCATCACCCTCAACCTTTGCTATTCCCCTCATTAAGTGATGGTTAACAATTCAATCATACCTATGAATGAATGACTCTTTACATTCATCAGTTACAATGTACCAAATCAGCAAGCATCAACCCTAAACTCTTCACTAACCCCCTCTACATTGATATATATATACTCCCCTATTCATTTATCAACATCAAACTTTCAATCTCTCCAAATTTTGGATTCTGATCTCGTATTCTTGGTAAGAATCTATCAGTTCTTCCTACTTTCAGCCAAAAATTAGAGTTAAAAAAAATTAATTTAGGAAAAGGGTCACCATTGGAGCCGTAATTTTGCGAGGTCACCATATCCGTTGTTGAAGCTATTGTTATTGTTCTTCTAATTCTTTCTCCATACTCCTTTCTTCCTCAATTTAGCCTGCAACTCAAAGTTTTCATGGGATTTGATTACGTATCTTTTAAAAAAAAAATAAAAAATTGGGTAGGTGCCCTGTTTTTTCGTGAAAATGGAGCATGAAAACTCCACTTTGTATTGTCTTTCTTTTTTTTGGTTTTGGGAACTTGTACGCAATACTGGTTCCTTTATTATTATTTTTACTTTTTTTTTTATCTTATTTTATTATTATTTTTACTTTTTTATCTTATTTTATTATTTTATTGTTATTACTATTATTATTATCATCCTAGTTTTTCCTAACCTTTTTATTAAGGTTGTGTACAAGATTGAGTTAATATATTGGTCATACTAACTTAGGTTTTTTTTTATATATATATTCGCTTGTTGATAGACGGAGGCTACATAGGTGATCGCTCGGGAAATTAGTAGGAGGAAATTACGTGCTATCAAGGTAATTTTCGATATCCATCAAGAACTTAGAATCCCGTTAGAAAACCGTTTTGATACGATTATGTGGTAGACGTGTTATATGAATGAATTATGAGTACGTAGTTTATTCTATAAACTTTATATATGGTTTTCATAAAAATGAATAAAATACTTTTACTACTACTAGTATCTACGTATATGATAATATCGATTTATCTTTGGTATTGATACTTTGGATATGTTGTTTCGAATATGATGTTTTGATACGACGATTTTATACAATGTACTATGGTACTTGATTTTTTTTTATTATTTTTTTATTTTTATAAAAAAAGTGACTTGGGTACTATCATTTTTATAAGCATAATCCTGGATTATATGTGAATATTATGACTAAGTGTTTAATTGCAAAGAATTTAAAATTATAATAATTTTAAAAAGGGAAATGAAACCCCCAAAAGGGTGAAGAACAGGTTGTCCTACTAGATGTTGTTCTATTGGTGTACATATGTGGATACCCAATAGGCTTCTAGTAGGTTTGGTACTACATTTTTCTATCTATTACCTTTTCATGGGTTTTCCTCCCAATACTTTTGGTGCGCGGTAAATTGCGGTTACCCATTAGATTAGTGAGGGGTGTGCACACTAGGGACATTTTGTTAATATATACTTGGCCAACTCAGGGTGATGCGCAACCCTTGTAAGTAGGTGGTTACTCTGGGATTAGTCCCGGCCTACTAATGTTGTCTTTCCCTTTCTTAATTAGAAGTTATAAGTAAATTTGCGTGGTTAAGTCTTTTGTTATGTGAGTGCTTAATTAGAGTGTATAAATTTATTTTATTATTCCATGTACAAATGTTTTCAAAACAAAATTATTTATTTTACGGGATGGAGTCGTGATTACTTAGTTTATCTGATTTTGGAGTTTCTCTTTGTGTTCCTATTTACTTTTGCAGGTTTGTAAGACGGGTTGGTTCGAGTGAGGACGTATCATAGAATAAGACAATTTGACCTTGCCGTCATTTAGTATACTTTTGGTTTAAGTTTTATGTTAAGTTTGGGTTGTAATAAGTTATACTCGTTTTAGACCACCTAGCTATGGTATAATAGTTTAATGTTTGTTTTTATCGTATTATCTTGTGCCTTTTAGTAACACTTCTAGAGTTTGAATGACGATTTTCAATAAATATGTAATTTTAGTTATTATAAAAAGATTTCAAATTTTGGGTTGTTACACGTCGAATCCTTTATAAGCATAAGAACGAAGAGGAATGGACGTTGTTTTTTTGTCAAGGGGTTCCTAACATACGTTTTGTGATTCCTTGGTGGAACATAAATAGTATGATTGGGAATAGTCTCAATTGCCCTTACATTAGGCTTTTAGGCTTATCTAGTACTACTTATATTTTTCCTTGTATGGTGATGAGACAATACGGGATGAGGCAATTTTTACCCCCGCAAGATTGTGATTCCCCTAAAGATGTGACCTTTAAACTCAAAAGGATTGCTCGTTGGATGGAATATTGGTCAAGTCTTCCTAGGAGGGTAATACAAAATCCTCCCGCGAGTATTACATTATCTTCCTTTTACAAGGCTTGGATGAATGCGGCGGATAAGGGTGAATTAAACAAGGCTCGATCTCAACTTCAAGCCGCTACAACTCGCAATCCACCTAAGCCTTTGATGCATTCAACCACTACTACTCCTCCTAGTGGCCAAAACAAAGGAGTGAGAAGAAAATTAGACTTCTCATCCCCTAAGGCTCGTTTGAAGGAAACAAAAAGGAAAGCTCCCACCAAACCTGCGCAACAAGGTGTGAAGATCAAAGAACCTTCACCAAATACTCGCAAGAAATCTCCAATAGTCAAAGGGAAAGGTATACAGGTTGCAAAGGCCCTAATCCCTAAATTGAAAAACGATGTTTAGGTGAAGAAGAAGAGTGTAGGGGAAAGCTCCAAGGTTTATGAAAATGCTTCGATGGAAACTACTCCTTCATCATCTGTAACAATTGAGGACATAGTAAAACCTTAGGGTGTTACACAATTTTATCATTAGTTTTTTTTTTCGAAAAAAGTGTTATCACTACTATGTATTTTTTTCGTTTACTATCTAGTTCAATAATATCTCTCTTTTGAATTCTGAATGAAATAAAATGAGCTTTATATTTTTATATTTTGATATGACCGAATCATAAAGATTGCCTATGTATTCGCTTTATGAAATTAGGTCTTTGCGTAGTTCTAATTTTTTTATAAATTTCATTATTATGTATTTTTTTTATTTTTGCTATAATCTCTTAGTTAGAAATTAAATGAAAAAAATTTAATCAAACTTGTTAAAAAGAAATAAATCAAAGTTTAATTTTATTTTTCGAGTATATGTTATATTTAAGAAATACCCTCTTTTGCTGTAAGTAGAAATCGCAACATCATTCAAACGCAAAAATTCGGGTCCGCAGTTCGTCATCAGGTGGCGCGCGCAACGTCTCTGAAGTTGCGTGAACCTGTTGCGCGCAACAAAATCAGTTGCGCGTGACATCCGTGCGCAACTCTTCTAGTTGCGCGCGACACCTATGCTATGAATGTCTCGAAATATTTTTTTTTTTGAAATTCTGTATTTTTACTACCCAAGTGTGAAGATTTTTCCGTGATGTTTGAAAAAATTTGAACACTTAGAACGGTTTATTATTTCTAAATTACCCCCCTTAGTGTTATGTATTTTACCATGTTATTCGATAAAATGCATAACACTTAGAATCTTTCAATTGAATGCTAATTAAAATTGGTTGTATGAGTGAACGAGTTTTATCCGGATTTCATATGTAATATTTCTTAAGGCGATCAATTTTTATTAATTAGCGAATTTCATCTCCTCCAATATCCATTAATCTTAGGGCTCCTCCTGATAAGATTTCAATAACGCTGTAGGGACCTATCCAATTAGGTTTGAATTTCCCTCTTGGATCGGTTGGTGGACCCCTAACTTCCTTTAGTACAAAATCACCTTATTTTATATTTCTATGTTTTACTCTTTTATTGAAATGACGCGCAATGCGCCTTTGGTAGACTTGTACATGATGCAAAGCTCTTAATCGTCGTTCATCAAAGAATAAAAGCTCTTCATACCTCGCTCTTACCCAATCAGCTTCTGCTAGCTTACTTTCAAGTACGATGTGTAGGGATGGTATTTCCAGTTTGACTGGTTGAACTGCGTCCATTCCGAAAAGTAAGGAGTATGAAGTTATTACTCCTATTGATGTCGGTATAGACGTTCTATAACCCCATAATGCGAAGTGTAGTTTATTCGGCCATTCTTTATAATTTTCTGCCATTTTTTTAGGAAATTTTGACTTTTACCACCAAAAAATTTGGACAAATTGTTTTTTACCACCTAATATTTTAAAAGTTGTATTTTACCACCAAATAAAACTCAAAAAATTATTTTTTACCACCTATCGTTTAGAAAACCGTTAAATCTAACGGAATTTTTTTAAAATTTTTCGATTTTCGTGCCCAAAATATGTTCTTCATAGGTTTAGGGAGGCATTTTCGCTCTAAGGGTCCATTTTGAAGTCAAAATTGATAAAAAATGATCGGAAATACCTTGTTTTGCGTGTTTAAAAATATATCGAATTGCGTGAACACGCAAAACGAGGTATTTTTGATCATTTTTTATCAATTTTGACCTCAAATTGGACCCATAGGTCCTAAATGCCCCCTAAACCTATAAAAAACATATTTCGGGCACGAAAATTGAAGAATGTTTTTTTAACACCGTTAGATTTAACGGTTTTCTTAACGGTAGGTGGTGAAAAACAATTTTTAGAACATTATTTGGTGGTAAAATACAACTTTTAAAATAGTAGGTGGTAAAAAACAATTTTTCCAAATTTTTTGGTGGTAAAAGTCAAAATTTCCATTTTTTTAATGATGACTGTTATATTTTTATTTGTCGATTCTACAACTCCATTCATTTGAGGTCTGTATGGGGATGAGTAATAATGTTTTACTTTATAACGAGTTAAGAGGGTCTCGACTTCAGCTTTGAATTGAGATCCATGATCACTAATTAGTTCATGTGGAACTCCATATCTACAAAATATGTTTTGTTCGAGAAACTTTGCGACATGTTTAGAAGTGATATTCACATAAGAAGCAGCCTCAATCCACTTAGTAAAGTAATCAATGGCATTTAATACGTACTCGTGCCCTCCTGATCCTGTTGGAGGGACTTTTCCAATTATGTCAATTGCCAAAGTCAAAAAAGGCTAAGGGGAAGTGAGATTGTATAGTTCGGATGGTGGAAGTTGTTGTAAATTAGCGAACATTTTGCACTGTAGACATTTTTGACATATTTTATGCAATCATGTTCCATAGTTGACCAATAGTACCCTTGTTAAGAAATTATTTTTAAAAGCATTTTACGATTCATGTGATATCCACAAACACCTTTGTTAGTATTTTCCATAAGGCTTGTGGCTTCCAGTTGGCCTATACATAATAAAATTTTACGATTAGGTCCTTTTTTGCATAATTAACCATTTATTAGACCATATTGGGCCGCAAGTGTTCGTAAGGCTTGTTGGTCTTTCGATGAAGTATTTTCGGGATATGTGCCATGAGTAATATATTGAAGGATATGATCATACCATGGATTATTTCCTTCAATGTCATTTATTTCCTCTATTGTGTTGCAATACGCTGGATCTTCTCTTCTATCAACGCATAATGGCATCGTATTTAAGTGATCTGGAATGTTGATCATTGAGGCTAATTTTGCCAGCGCATCGGCAAATTGATTGTCATCCCTTGGGAGATATTTAAAATCAATATGTTCAAAATGCTCGATGAGTTGCTTTAGGTGTGCTTGGTATAAAATCATTCTGGAGTTCTTTATTTTCCATTTTTTAATATATGATTTATAATCAAACTAGAGTCTCCATATACCTCTAATTTTTGCACACCTATGCTAGCCGCTGCTTCTAATCCAATAATGCACGCTTCACATTCTGCGGCATTATTAGTAACCTCAAAGTCAAATTTAACAGAGATTGGAGTATGTGCTCCCTCTGTACTTATGAGTAACACTCCTACGCAACATCCTTTATGATTGGACGCACCGTCGAAGTACATTACCCATTCGTCATCTTGTGTCATGAGAATCTCTTCATCCGGAAGATGAGTAGTTTCTGCACGACTTATTTGAATTGGATGTTGTGCCAGAAAGTCGGAAATTACTTTTCCTTTCATTGATTTTTCGGGAATATATTTTAGCTCAAATTCAGCCAACATCACCAACCACTTACATATATATCCTTCCTTTTATGGGTGGTTGTTTAAATAAATACTTTATCGGATTTTGTTGAGAAATCACATGAGTAGTGTGTGGTAACATATAATGTCGTAACTTTTTTGTTGTCCACACTAATGCTAGGCTTGTCTTTTCCAAGGTGCTATATTTTGTTTTGGTATTGGATGAATTATTTACTTTTGTAATATATTGCACGTTCGACTTTTTCTTCCTCTTGTGATAATATGGCACATTTGGTTGTGTCTGTAACTGTAATGTATAGCCTAAGAGGTAAGTTGGGTACTAGTGGTGCTAAAATTGGTGGACTTTTGAGATAATCTTTGATTTTCTCAGAGGCCTTTTGGAATTGATCGTCCCATTCATGTTTCTCCTCTTTTTTCAATTTTTTAAATATTGGCTCACAAGTCATAGTTAATTTGTTGATAAATCGACTAATGTATTGTAATTTGCCAAAGAATTCCCTAATTTCTTTTTCTGTTTGAGGGGAAGGCATGTCAACAATTCCCATTATTTTAGAGGAATCGATCTTGATGCCACGTGTGCGTACTACGTATCCGAGTAACTTACCAGAAGTTACTCCAAAGACGCATTTTTATGGATTCAATCGCATTTTATATTCTTTAATGCGAGTGAAAAATTTGCGTATAGCTTTTATATGTCCTATTCTATCTTTGGACATTACCATCATATCATCAACATACACTTCTATTTCTTTAATTATGCATCATATCATGCAAGAGAGTCATAGCCAAATGGCATGACTGCGTAGCAATACGTACCCCAAGATGTAATAAAGCATGTCTTTTCTTCTTTTTCTTT